TATTATGATTTTGAATAGATTATCTAGCAATTCGATAATTGAATTTGGTTCATCAAATTTATGCTTCATTATTAGTATAATTAATAGATGTTCAATTATTTGTAAGTTTTGTTGGCTTATTCCATAGCTGATGAAGTAGTTCACAAAAAATACGCGAGATGTCAGTGTATGTAATTTGGCGACAGAATAAACCACAATATTCTTGAACGCACTTTTCAAAATGTATTCTGTACATGTAGGTACCTGTCTTGTGTGAGTATGATTGTCATTGTATGACCGGGGGGGAGGGGTTTAATCATACGATATTTAATTGCCTACCCTGTCTCGAAAACCTGTGCACGCCACTGGATAATGGTCACATTTGTATACTACATATATATATACATACTATAGACTCGTCTTCATTGGCTCAAACCGTTCCGCACAAACAATTATTTACTTTACAAAGCTTTAAAACAAATTAGCACAGTCTTTTAAATTGCAGAACTAAAGTGGTCAAAGCAGTTAAATGGATAAATTTGGTAACGTTAGTAATACTTTCAAATTGTTATTGCAGTCTGATAGCCCAATGTCAACCTAATCTAACCTAACCGGAAAAAATACGTTTTTATTCGAAAAAGTTTTAACAGCACAAAACACACATGATCTAAATTGCCGAAAATAATTGTCATTTATTAAGAATTCGGCTGCGATTTAACAGAAATGCGAAGAGTGAAGTAGGCTAGCTTCGACCTAGTCATCGTATTGCTAATGACAATGTACAACAATTTTGTAACCGAAGTGCTATAAGACTAGTGGCGTCTATAGGTAGAATCCATGTAAAAAATCGCAATGTAATGCGAATTTAATTATAAGAGACAATTAGATTGACGACAAAAACCTAGTATCATTACCAAGAATGCCTCCAGCCGTGACGAGGAACTGACTTTATTTCGCTTTTCCGCACAGTTGGTCCCGTGTTTTTCAATTTAAACACTCTTCACCTTCACACAAATTGACCTTTGATACTACGTGCAGCATCATAGTTAAATAGCCAATTTAATTCAATTACGTGTTAAGCTTTGATTGTGCTGGATTTGTCACTGTTACATATTTTGTTAGATTATATTATCTAACAACTTTTTTAGAACCCATTTTCGATTTAAAATACTTGTACAGAAGCGAATCTTTCTTGACATCTGATTTGTTGCTTTGGAAGCTCAACATAATTTAAAAAATCAGACGATTTCGGAATTTCCTTTCTGACTACTCAGAGAAGAAACTCCGGAGTTGTCAGCAAACCTTCAATGGTAACCATAATCACCATGCACTTTTAAAATCTTGACAAGTTACTCATTACATTACATTATTCTTTTCTTCCAGATTCAAAGAGGGCAAAGTATCGTACGGCACAGACAGCCCGGCACGAGGTCGCCGGGTCATATTCTGCGTGCACGGCAACCCTTCCACAGGATGCTGTGCAGTCATAGAAACCAGCGCAGACGGAGACGATGGCGAACAACGTAATGGAAGCATTTCAGAAGTTGAAAGTAAGTAATCTACGTAAATATTTAAACTCACACCTTTTGTATAGAAACTACATGGCGCATTTTTTTATGCATCTGCTTGTTATGTACTTGGACAGTGGTACTCCGTTCCGTACTTCATCTTCTAAGGTCACTACCACCGCTACCGTTACAAATATAATGTTCTCATTTTGATCATTCATATCGTAAGGGATAGTTCCGACATATTTCCGAAAACGAGGACATGTGTAGGTATAAACATATTATATCATATATATCATATATGGCATAAACCAGGAGGATGTTACTGATTATATCCACTTCGCTTGGTCTTGTCGTTCTTTAAAGGTCAAACTCCTCATATCATGTTGCATTGAACATGAACCGAACATCTGGTTAATACTTCTTGGTGGTCTTAACATCAGCTTATTAGTGCCTTATTTATCGTTAAGATCCGTAATGACATCCTTTCTTTCTACTTTATTGTGGATACAAGATTTGTTTTATCCTACTTACAAAATGCAAGGAAATGTACCAGCCTCTACTGTCTTTACTATATTTATTGTATCTCCGGCTTAATAGCCATGAAGGTTGCGAATTCAGTTACGGTGACGTCATGTTATTATGACATGGGGTATTTATCTAGTTGTCGCACTGTAGTTACATATAAGGTCGTGGTACTTGAAGCCCATTGTTTCGCTTATCATATGTATGTTTTAACGTTTAGTTTAATCCTTTAATATCTTTTATTCAACGTCCTTGATTCAGAAAACGAATTTATGGATTTTTTGATATTACAGAGTAAACAATTTGGAATCCTCTTTTTAAGCCATTAGCAGTTTAAAAAAAAACTAGAAATGACTTCTGTCAATGTCGTGATGGCAAGCTTGAACAAGGAGTCGATGGTATTTTGAAATAAAAGAAAATATTGATTTATTTTATCAGTCGAATTATAGCCCAAGTTACTGTGCTTGTACATACGTACAATGTACATAAACTCGTTGCCTTTTGATGTCGTTGCCTTAAGGGAACATGTGTTTTCGCAAGTGGCAGTTCGGTTTCACTTGACTATCAATGTGATTGACCAAAATCTGCATATCTGTTTGATATCCAGACCATTTTTCATTGGAATCGACAACGTCTGAGAATAGGACTCATGTCAATTCGTCTTTCGGTAGATTCAACTAATCAGCCAAGGTCTACGCAACGTAGTTCTGTATCAAATAATGTTGTGTTGGTGCATAAATGTTCTAATCGGATAGCTCGTAAGTTATGCGTTGTGTTTATCATTATACTAGCGACCCGCCCCGGCTTCGCACGGGTGCAATATGCACGATATAAACCTTCCTTAAGAATCACTCTATCTATTAAAAAAAACCGCATCAAAATCCGTTGCGTAGTTTTAAAGATCTAAGCATACATACGGACATACAGCGAAAGCGACTTTGTTTTATACTATGTATTGAAGTATCAAGAAATTTAAACTTGTCTATTGATTTATAAGACTTTTTAAACTTAAACAGAAGTAACTAACTTGTTAAAGTTCTCAACTCACACCTAACAACAAACTACTACTACACAAACAAACTAAACTAAACAAACTACAACTAACACCAAACTCAAACTTCACATCTTACCCAGAAGGTCGCATGTCAGTTGCCAACTGAACTTTAATTAAGTTGGTCGGCTCTTACGACGGCTGCAGAAGATTAGGGGTAGTGACAATAGGTAACGTACTACCGGTTTTGGTCTAGCAAGAAGTCTTTTTGGCCAATCACAGTAGCTGTCAAAAATTTAACGTCCAATAGTTGACACTAGCTAATTCCCTATTGGACGAAGAACGAGAGGTTCACTAATACCATGTAGTGAGCGAAAATACGGCAGCCCCCATTGTATTTGTATTCTCCCCTCCCATCACTACTCAGTATCGCTACCACATCAGGTTGCTCCAAAATAACCATTTTACAAAACGCCCCTGTCTCTACCTGGCAAAGCAATTGACTATTGTGTTCTGAAAACTCCAATAAACTTTGATTCATGTTTATTATTTTGTTGTTTCAGGGCATTGTCACAGATCGAGGAACGAAGAAATAGACAAAAGGGCAAGAAGAAAGTTGATAATAGCCAGCATATTATGTGTTATATTTATGATAGGTGAAATTGTAGGTGAGTAACATTAAGTATATTACTAGGTAGGTATGTAACAAAAAATGGGCATTTTCAATACCTTTATAAAATAGAAGTAAGAGAAGGCTAGAAGACCTTTAATGCCAGTGGTGATATCTGATATCTGCTAAAATGAAAGTCTACAGAACAAATATACAACCCGACTCACATACATACATTATTTCCTCAACATATTACATAGGCCGAACCGAATCGCAAATAATAAATACTATATTCGAAAACAATGGCTTCGATAGTTACGTTCAAGGAATTTCAAATTACAATATAATCTTAATGTAGGTTATCAATATGGCACGTGGCCAATTTTCATATTGTTTTCATGAAACATGACTACCATACCGAAGAGGTCTTATGTAATAGTTTTGTTTTACACATACTTCTGGAACGCGGCTCTACGAAGAAATCAACCATAAGACCTTAATAAGACACACACACGAACACACACACACTCAAATCAAATTATTTGCCAAAGTCTTGGTAGAATTTAGGTGTTAAACTTGTAATAGTAACATTTGCAATTCATGCAACCGTTTTTCTTTATTTAATTTAAGTATTGAAAACCACTACAATCTGATATAGGTCTGGAGTCGATCTGATGATGAAGCCGAGAGCCAGTCGAGGGAACTCCTCGACGGTTAACAGTAGCTACCTTGTGTTTAGGTTTGAAAAAAATCGATTTTAGAAACACACTTGAGTCCTTGTTACAATTTGGACATACAGATACTCTCAAGCCATGCACTCAAAAAGCTATGGTTGCTAATTTTCTTTTTCAATGTTTTCAGGTGGTTACTTATCAAACAGTTTAGCGATAGCCACAGACGCTGCCCACCTTCTAACAGACTTTGCTAGCTTTATGATATCGCTGTTCTCGCTATGGGTATCCAGCCGACCAGCTACAAGACGGTAAGTGACTTATAAAACAATCAGTTGAAAGATATTTAAAGTAGAATGAGCTTAAATGACTAATGATACTGTTAGTTAAATAACAAACCAATAATAACGACAAATTTATCTTAATTCCCATAGAGATATTGGGTTTTGATCTCAAAAATTCTTTATTCATATTTTTGACGCATCAAATTAATCATATTTCATATTACATGTTAAGTACATATTTCAGGATTTTTGGTACGTATTTCAGCCTTTTACGTATATGTTTTGGAAATTTGGCATATTATACTCTTCTCACACGGAGAACCGTGTGAGAAGAGACGTTTTCTCAGCAGTAGGACAATTGAATAAAATTTCTCATAATTTATCTTTCTTTCATTACAATTCTTATAAAATATATTATTTCCCAGAATGCCGTTCGGCTGGTACCGTGCGGAAGTAATAGGTGCATTAACATCGGTGCTCCTGATCTGGGTGGTGACGGGAGTGTTGGTGTACATGGCGGTGCAGCGCGTCATATACAAAGAGTTCGGGATCAACGCCACTGTCATGCTCATCACCTCCGCTGTTGGAGTCGCCGTCAACCTTATGTGAGTTACCTTAAAGTCAAAGTCAAAGTATTTATTTCAATGAAACCATAGTTTGGTACTTTTGAAACGTCAACAAATACAAAATAAATAATAGTCTGTCAGTCAGTCCGTCAGTGAAGCTAGGTGAAGCTAGGTGCTCATTCCAAAATGTAGATTCGAATGGAGAAGAACGAGCAAACAATTCCATTCGTTACTCTTTTTAAAAAAGTATGAGTAAAACTGCAAACATCAAAAAATTATTGGACGGTTGGTGCGATGGCTGGGCCACCGGCTGCCGCGCAACGTGTCGCAGATTTGTTTCCCGCACGGAACAACTCTGTGATCCAAAAATTGTTGGTCTAGGTGTGGGTGTCATGTGTATGTCAAGTAGTTTATTTGTAAACGCACTGTGTTGTGGACACAGGAGAAAGTCCTCAAGTACGCTAAAAATGTTCTAAAAAAAATTAAGATGGAGTCGAGGTGGATTAAAACTGTAAATAGGCTACAAAATAGCCGGATTACGACGTTATAGATTTAAGTTAGTGTTTCCTATCTGCTGGTGTTAGTGAGACAGGCTTAGTTGGTCTGATTTGCGGAAATACTAATAGTCCAAAATTGTTATCTACTAAATTTTGACCTATGGGCCTAGGCCCATACACTAGTGTGATGCTGTCATTTTCTTCATCGCCTTTACCCAGTCTAAAAGCTTGGAGCGTCGTGAGTCGTGGTAGTTCATTCATAGGCCTAATTATGTAGTATTCTACAAGTGGTGGTTGTATGTCCCAGTATGGGCCTGACGCTGCACCAGCACGGCCACAGCCACGGCGGGGGCGGACACGGACACTCGCACGGAGGGAACAACCCCGTACTTAATAATAAGGTATTTAATGTCTTTCAATTGTTGTCGGTTTTCTTATTAACGTTGTGCAAATGTTCTAAATGTTTTTATGGCTTGAAGTTCAGCATAACTAGCATTCTTCAAGGCCCGAGTGAATAGGTTGCTTATGGGACGACGTGCTCCATCGTAGACCGCATCATCGCCTACCACCAGGCGAGATAGTGGTCAAAAGTTGCCCCATCAAATATAAAAAAAATCGAGCTCAACATTTAAAATTCTATTACAATTAACAATTTAAATTGAATACATTTAGTATTAATACTTAACCTCCATGAGTGCTTAACAACAAAGTCATGAGTGAAAGATTGTATAGCATCGTCTAATGTGATCCAGTTTTGAGTCGTGTGCCAATAGTACCCAGGGCAAGTGTATATATAGTATGTCGGGCGGTACAGGAGCGCGCGGACTCGGACGCGGAGAGCGCGGCGTCGGCGCACGCGCACGCGCAGGAGAACATCAACGTGCGCGCCGCCTTCATACACGTGCTCGGGGACTTCCTGCAGAGCTTCGGCGTACTCATCGCCGCCATCGTCATATACTTCCAGGTCCGTGGACGTCGCTGTACTCGATAATACCACGCTGATGTCGGAATACTCAAACGCTACTCAATCTTAAGTCGTGCTTAAGTATAGTTCTGTCACTACAAATTCTTTGTAAAATGACAGAGATGGCACGATATTTAAGCACGACTTAAAATTGAGTATTCCGGCATGAGTTACTTAAAATGTGACTTAATTTATTGAATTTCCAACCCTGTTGTCTTAGAAATAAAGTTCAAAATGTATTAGCTTTTCAAACAGCCAATTATGGATTTTAAACTTGTTTGTTTCGGCCTAAATATCGACTAAAATAATAATGCTTAAAAGAAGTTAAAATATTTCATTTTCTAATACCTATAACCGGATTCATTCGTATATTCAGAGAAACAGTTTTCAACTCAATACTTGTTCTCGTTTCACAGCCGAGCTGGAGTCTAGTAGATCCAATCTGCACGTTCCTTTTCTCCGTGCTGGTACTCATCACCACCTTCAACATCATCAAGGACGCACTCCTCGTACTCATGGAGGGATCACCTAGAGGCGTGGACTTCCAGGTAACGACATCTAGCGTCTATTTATCGTGTGGTGATAACGAAGTATAAGTTTACTACCTCGTCTACCTCCTTGCTGGTGTCGTATGGTTCGGCTAACAGAAACTCCATACAACTAATGTCTAAAATCGATTTTTTATGGAACAAGCCCGCTACAACCTCTGCAACTCCTGTAAGCCAGGAAACACCGGAACACTTAAGTTCGACGCGTCCCAAGAACATGAATAACTTGTCTTGGATCCCGCAACGAAATAAATCAGAAGATATTAATAGAGGAAAAGCATAAAACCGATAGTTTTCACTTCCCTCGGTGAATTGATGCAAACAGACTGAACGACTGTGAGAATCCCAGTCGCCAAGCACCACGGAAAATTTGACTAAAAACTGAATGGAGTGCTATGTGTAAGCTTGAGACCAGTTATAGAAATTGACAGTAAGGGATTACACATTTGATAAAAGTCTGTGCAGTGGTGTTATCTGATAAACCTGAACAGCAGCGAAGAACAGAATATTATTTTAAAGTAGTGTAATAATTCTTCTTTCCCCCTTCTTCACCTTACAGGAGGTAGCCAATACGTTCCTGTCGCTGCCCGGCGTGGTCCGCGTCCACAACCTGCGCATGTGGGCTCTCTCACTCGATAAGACTGCACTCTCCGCGCATCTAGCCATACGTATGTATCTACAACATACACTCGGACAAAAGTACACTCGTGCAATAAAACACATAATGTAAGCACAATCATGTCTACACATGCCCAAAAACACCCGAGCGTACGGCGCGTCGCGTTCCGCGCGCGCCTCAAAGAGCCATCAGACCACCACAGATGGGGCCCAACAGGGCTCATACCGATTCGGAGTCGCGGAGAACCTAACGGGTTACCGGGGCTCAGGCTCGGCGTGTAGGAGAAGGAACGGGGTGGTTTTTAGTCTGTAAGAGTCTGACACTCCCTTCCGCCTCATCTAGGCGGGAGCAGCCATTTGATGATTTTCCCCCCTTAAAAAAAAGTGCTCAAACACATCAACACTCATACCAACAAACTAATCCACAAACACGTCAAAACACACATGCTCAAAAATACACATGCCGTGCAAGTAAGCATATGAATGAACTAACGGTTTCATTCCAGTAAATCTCTTTTCAAACTTAATCCTTGACCTTTTGCATAAGCTGTTATTTAATATTCCGATAAAATCGGTGCGATTTTACCCACCAATTGCTGTGCCAACTTTTCCTCAAATTATAGACAGAACTCCTATATTAGGCGAGTGAGTAGAGATTTTTATAGATTGTGCAAGGATTTATGACTCGATCCATTTACTACAAGCAGTACCAGGGTGCGTAGGCGACTTAATCTTAAATTTACTGAATGAATATCCTTGTTTTCTACGTTTATCTGCATTGCATTCGCAAAACCACTGTAAAGATATAGGTACTGTAGCTAGCTGTGGAAACCTATAATTGGCTTTGTATTAGCATATCCTGAATTTTAATTATTTGAAATATAGCTGTTGGTTACCCAAATTAAAATAAATAAATAATTTACACAAAACTTTACTCTCCCAATGTACTCTTTCAGGTACCGGAGTAAGTCCGCAGAAGGTATTAGAAGAAGCGACCAGGTTGGTACACGACAAGTATAACTTCTTCGAGATGACGCTGCAGATCGAGGAGTTCAACGACGGCATGGAGGACTGCAGCCAGTGCAAGATGCCACAGACTTAAGACATATTACTTCTATGTACAGACTCACATCAAAATACCACAAACTATCACTTTATCACATAGTTTGAAAAGTAAATCTGTCAGTTTTTAATGGGCAATTAATTTTGGTCTTTGTAGCGAAGAAAATGTGTTAGAGACTGATAGTTTGAGATAGATTGATGTGCAGTCTAAACGTATTTTGAGATACATCATGTGGTTTGGCTTACTACTACTACACCAAAGACATTTCGGACCAACTTCATAAGAGTATAAGTTCAATAAAATGGCCCTGAATGCCTTCTATAAATATTTGTTGTATGAATTTAAGGTGCCTTATCGATTATTTTAAAATAATATCCTAATAATTAAAAAGTGAGCCAAACCACGCATGGGCCTTCAGCAAGGTTCGAGGAAATGCAATTACACTGCTGCCACGTAAGGATAAAATCAACAAAATGTATTTGAGAATTTCGAACTCCCCTAGTGGGTCTAGAAAACGATAACCTCGTGCAGAAAGTTCATAATTTATTGGCAGAGGACTGTTTTCAACAAGGTCCTGTCATTGGACCAATGAATTTATTCGAGGTTATGTCATAAATTATGTAAAATAAAAAGAGACCTTGAAACATAATTTATTATAGACATACATACAGTACAATTTAATGTTCTATTAAAAAAAGATTAGAATCCATTGCCATTTTTACCATTTCCGTTGATAAACTGCTAAAATACCTATAACTAAACTTGACAGGGACTTGTAAGACTAATCGATAGTGGCTCCCTCTAGACGTCAAATGTTGAAATTTGCTATATTAATAATTGATTTTACTGTAAAAGGTTAATTCAGCCTTGTAAAGTGCCTTTGCTTTTAGTAAATTTCGTCATTTTTATGACCGAAATAACTATATAACTGTAGTTCGGCCATTTTAAACGTTCGAATTGTCGTAAGTCATGTTTATCAGTATCACGCTTAAGCGAGTTACGTGATACTGTCACATTCCTTTGACATGTCAGTTCGCATTGTAACGACCAACGACATATTTAGCCTTTAAATATGGCTGATTTTCTTCAACAAGTTTTATATATTATGTAGTATGATATTAATAAAACATTGATATTCCTAAGACTTCAGCCAAAAATGTTTAAAATAAGAGGCTATGTCTATATTTTAGCGGTAAATTAATTATGTCGGAATAGAAAATACATGTTTTCAAAGACAATAACATTAAGTTACAAAATACCTTTCAAATGCATTTTAACAATGTAAATATTTTTCTACATAAAATAATTTGTCAACGCAATCTACTAGAGTCTATATTTTTGTTTAAAATTACAAGATACAAGTTTGCAGCTAGATATGTTAATTAAAATCCGAATTTATAAGTAGAACTGTACCTATTTATAAATAATTAAAAGTTTAAATTTTAATTATTTACAATAATACAATGTTATTTGTATATAGCGTAATATTTATTAGAAAGTAGTTTATGTTAATTATCGTGGTTAAATCATGTAAACAGTTAAATAATTTTAAGTTATTCTAGTATGAATAAAGATAAATCAATAAATGAACACATTTTTGAGACGCAATTTATTATTTTTATATCTACCCATGCCCTATGAAAACAGTGGAATGATCTGTCGTCGGCGGTATTTCCGAACCGATACGACCTTCAAACCTTAAAGAGCGTACTCCTTTTTAAAAGGGCGGCAACGCACCTGTGACTCCTCTGGTGTTGCGGGTGTCCATGGGCGGCGCTGATCGCCTACCATCAGGTGATCCGTCTGCTCATTTACCTCCAATTCCATTTAAAAACGCTTGTCTGAAGTATTTTACCTTTTTGATTAAATAGGTATACTTAGGTTAAAATTGTGTAGAAGATAGGTGTCGATCAAGCATAATCATTATTGATAGAATACTAACAACGCCGAGGTCTTTTTTAGATTATTTACCTAATAAGAGTATTTGTGCAATTATAAACATCAAAGTTATAATTAATACTTTTGATAGGTACGTCAGCTATTGAAATGACACATTATAATTTATAGCTAATACGGATCATTATTATATTTTTTCTTTAATATGACAATATTTATTTATAACAATATGAAATATCGAAGACCAATACACGCTTATCGGAATAATGAAATACAACAGGAATGTGTGTTTAAAATAACTTCCAGTTTATCTAATTACTGCAAAGCAATATAATAACAACACGACAAATCTGACTGGAAAAATATTAAGTATCATCGTCTAGATAGTTAACAAAACAAATGTAATGACATCACAATTTAATATTCACACAATATTCAGTTTTTGAAAGTTGGATAAGACAATTGTTTGTTTTTTTTTTTGTTTGCATAAAGACAGTATAGGTATACGTATTTAATCTGTGTTATAAGTATAATCAGCAAAGTTGTTAGGTAGACAACCAGTCTTTGCCACATTGGTGTAATATTTCGCTGAGAGTCGAGCTGTTCTAGTCAGGTTGGGAGACTGGTAATCCACTTCAAATAGGCCAAAACGTTCCCTGAAATTATTAAAAATAAAACATTGAAATGTGTACTCTCGGGGCGATGAGTGTAGGTTGAGAATGAGTTATTTTCAAGAACATGCATATAAAGATTGTTGTATATGGTCTAATTACCATGTTGTGCTTCTATCGAACTCAAAGACATCAATACTTAAGTACATTAACATACGGTTTATATGTCTAAAAAGACTAGGTTCCGAACATCTTTCAAAAAACTAATCAGTGTATAACTAATTAGTTATTGTACCTCTATATATTACTATACTCTTTGGCTATTGTGTAACTGGTAATCCGAACTTTTGGTGTGATCTCGATGAGTGAGAATATTCTCGCTCGTCATTGGTCGAGATTATATTCACAACCAATGACATGGCGGACAGTGATCGAATTCACTTCGAGCTGACGAATTGAAAGTTACAGAACAGCTAAGCTGATATTTCAAATCGGCAAAGCAATCGTAGGTACAATATAAAGTAAATACAATATAATACTTACGAAAATCCTCTAGTCCACTCGAAATTATCCAGGAAACTCCAGTAAGCATAACCAACGACTAAACATCCATCTTGATGTATGGCAGTGTGCAAGGCACGGAGATAACTATCGATATAGTTAACTCGCTTCGTATCACGAAGGCCACGCTCGAATGACACACCATTCTCAGTTATTAAAGTCTTAGGGTTTCTATAGTTCAGTCGCACCCAGTTCAAAGCTTTCCTGAAGCCCCATGGTACAACCTGCGAAAAGAAAACATAGGTTCATATTGTTATGTAAGAAGGATAATGCAATTGTGAAGAATACAGACAATTTTTACCATAATAAAAGGGGAAGAGAGGAACCTGTTGTCAAATTGAGTAGATTCTCAGATTCCGTAATATTAAAATGACCGGAATTCGGATTAGCGAAACTTCTGCACCGCAGTCGCACAAGATAAAATATATATTACCCTGTTACACAACGAAGTAAAACTAATTTAAACCCACTCACCTTCAACCACGAGGAATTTGTTTTAGGCCATTCATCCTTTTGGAATTTAATTACGTTCATATCGTCTACGAATGAGGGTTGTACACCAAGCCTTCGGGAACCATGTTTTATCAAATACGTGGTGTAGTGGTTCAAGCCCAAGAAGTCGTAAGCCCCTCGTATCATCTTCACCTCTTCAGGAGTAAAATAAGGCAGTCTTGAGTGATAGAACCCTTGCCGCTTGGAATTCGCGTCAATCATGCTTCTCATTATAGGCGGATAGTCTCCAGATTTTGAGAATATTGGGTGCGCGAACCAACCAAACTGGAAGAAGTAATTATGTTATTATAGTGCCAAGTAAATATGCTAGTACATCAAGGTCAAGGTATTCCAACTAACAGCTACTCACGTAAAATTGTCTGGCAGTTTCTGCAGCTTGCTGGTCTTCTTCAGATGTCGTAGCTGGCTCCAACCACGAGAAATCCAATGTTATACCCATATGACCTGAAAAAAATTACTCGGTTAACAGAAAGAAATTCTAATAGTAGGTAGTTAGGCATTCACACGAAGTTCACATTCTTGATTTTACAGTCAGGTAACCAATATTTGTTTAGGGTGTTTTTAATACACTGTTTGTTTTAATGTTTTGCGTTTCTGACTTGCCATAACGAAAAGTATTATAAAAATTTGTATTATTTATACAATAAGGAGCAACATTGTTCTTGATGAACATACCTCCAATTTTCTTCCGATATTCCTTGTCAAACATACGGTACACCATGCCATGAGCTCGGAGTACATTGTGGCCACACATATAGTCTTCGAAGCCACTGGAATTCGCTCCCGGAGCTTCTATACCACCGTATCCATCTTCACAGAAGGTGTATGGCTCGTTGAATGTCAACCAGATTTTTACTTCATCGCCAAAAGTGTCTAGAAGCACCTGTGATGGAGCAAGTTTACAAAAGTTAGCTACTATAGAACGGGGTGAACTGAATTCAAATGGTGAATAGATATGTCTAAGTAAATCTCATGTAGTGTTCGCCAAGTGTAGGTGGAATATCGTCGCTGAATGCGGTTAATGCAAAAACCGGGAAATTCTCAGTGGCGCAAGCAGCAGACAGCTAAAATAGTATAAACTAATGATCTTTAGTGCTAAAATGTTTGTTGGGTTTTTGTACCGTAACCACTGAACTTTATCATCTATCTACTTAGCCCAAAATAAGAAACCAACTTACTCTAGCATAATCGACGAAGTACTCAGCCATAATAGGATTGGTCCACCCGCCGAGTTCCTGTAGACTTTGTGGCAGATCAAAGTGATACATGGTGACTACGGGAGTAATATGGTTACGACGGAGTTCAGCGAGTAACTCCTTGTAGTATCTGATGCCATCCTCGTTCACGTAACTGTTGTACAATAGTAAAATATTTTAAATATTTTTTATGTAAAAATATCGCAAATACAAAGGCACAGCCCTTCATGCCATGTTACAGCCTCTACTAATGAATAGAAGGCCTTACTAATCATCACGCTTGTCAGTTAGATTACGAACAAAATTAACACGAAATGCTGAAGCTTTTATCTCGATGGTTGTTATCGTTTTAAGACATAGTCAGATCCAGATTTAGGGCTCGTGCACAAAACTAATGTATGTAAAAACGCAAAACTATGCGAGATCCCTCTAAGCATCGCAAGAACTTGCGAATTGATTCGCAAGAACTTCTTTGCTTCTTTTTTCTGTATCTCCAAAGCAATAACAGAAGTGCACACTTCTTTTTACGATCCATGTCACGACCTAGTTTTCAATCTTATTACTTATTACTATTACTATTACTATATAAAGCGGAAGTTTGTTTTTTTGTTTGTTTGTTTGAACGCGCTAATCTCCGTAACTACAAGTCTGATTTGAATAATTATTTTTGCGCATTCATCAAGGATGGCTATAGGCTATAAAACATCACGACGAATAGTTGCTGAGCAGAGCGTGTGAAACCCCGCGAAGTAGCTAGTTTAAAATACGTTTAGTACGGTTGACGGTCGTCGCATTGGGTGACGCCATGTAGCACGAAATCGCATCGCAGCAATTCGCATCGTAATTTTCTGCGTTGCAAATTCGCATCGCATCGTATCGTACCTACTCGTACCTACTTGTACAAAAATGTG